TGTAGTTCCCCCCCCCCCAAAAAAAACATTGCCTTCAAAATAAGGGTGCGTCTTATATTCCGAAAAATACAGTATATATATTTTCATCAGGGCCGGTCTAAAGCTTAGTCGACTGCCTGCAATGGCACTTTTCAGGGAACAGTCAATTCATCTAAATTGTAGCTCTGTAACGAGCTTTCGACAGAATAAAATGTTATATCGTGTTGACTGTAAAAAAAAAAAAGGTTTGAATTTAATTGAATGCAACGGTATCGTCTCAGACGCTAAAATCATCTGGGCAGTTCTGTAAAATTGAAAATTGGTTGGCTTCAGAAATCAAGCATGATAGTATTATCGACGAATTTGTTAAAAGGAAAGTACATAAGATCAGACTACAGCTCTTTCACGTAAGCATGTTATAAAGTTTTGATGATGTTTACAGTTGGCAGCACACTGCGATTTCAATTCCAAAACACAATATAATTTGGTAAACTTTCATGATGATGTAGGCAGTGTATTGAATAGGAAACAATTGTTTAAATGGCGCCATCTACTTGAAGACTTCTAAATGTCGTCACATTAGCCTTATATTTTATTAATACCATTTCAGTTTCAGTTAAATTTATATTATTTGTAGAAGGCAGTTAGTTTTCACCTTTGTTTCGTATTGTAAAATGTTAATGAAAATAACGTTGTTAATGATAGTGTATTTGTAATGAATTAAAACAATGTAGACAGACTTATTATATAAACATTTTACACTTTGATATTATCATAAAATGCTTAGAACAGCCATTCTTTGTTCCGGTTTATTGCGGCACTACCAAACGTCTGTAAGTACGTCATCTATTTCATAGAAATTATTTGTTGTTCTATATATATATATATATATATATATATATATAAACATTGTGAGGAAAAATGTGTTTTTTCAGTTTGGCCTAAATCAGAAAGTTTACTTTGAAGCATTGATTTTTCTTCCTATATTCTAACTTTGTTGCTTTCTGGAATTATAATTATTTTCATAAGGTTTGCCATTTAACTGAACTGTGTTATCAATGATAGCGTGTAGTAATAACGATTATTGTACAGGATACAGCATGATAGTGCTGCCACCTCTTTTCAGCAATTTGAAATAAATATACATATTAAAAATATATATAAATAAAACAGAAGACAAAACTAATGATAGTCATTGTGAACAATAATATGAAAGTTTAGTATGGCATTAGTATAACAAGAACTGTCACACGATGTCACTAGTTATAAGGTTTTTTTTTCTCCAAATATATATATATATATATATGCCTACTTTTTTTAAAAAATAGTGTTAGTTCAATAAAGCGTACTTCATCACCCAACAAAATCTTACAATTACTATCTAACTTTATAAACTTAAAAATATAATTACTCCGCGGGAACTAAATAGTATTACAAAATCAAATAATACGAATCTCTTACTTTACTTTCATTCGAATTTACATACATACCACAGTGCCATCTTTTGGTAACATCTAAAGATTTTACAGAATAGCTCAAAACCATCATACCAACTAACTTTAATATTGTAAACTAATACACGCTTCAAGAAAGAGTTTGATTGTTACTTATAATAAATCTATTTCCAGAATTAAAATTATTCGACATTGTTTCCTACCAAAATCATACGAGCTTAAACAATATGGCTATTAATACTTCTATAAATACCCTTTCTTTCAAACTCTACAAGTTATCAGATAAAACAATTGATTTCCTCGAGCATAATTTTTTGGAATAAAATTTGAACACTTATGTTGGTTTAACCAGTTACAGAAAACGTCAGTACTTCTAACCTTGTAGATTTGACTCCATTAATTATCAGTCAATGTTTCATTAAAAACATTGCGATTAAGCACTATAGAATTATATTTAGAAAGTTTTTTACACGTTTCTTGAGTATCCCAATCGGTTACAGTGTACACTTTATGTTTAAGCTCTATAAATTGAAAATGAAATTCAGAAAACCATATAAATGCTTATAATATTGTAATCAGATTCAGTGTACACTTTTTGACTAACTTCTATAAACTAACAAATATATTCAGAATTTTTACATGGTTCTACAGTTTCCCAATCAGTTACAGTGTATGTTTTTTTATTAAGCTCGATAAAATACCGAAGATAAGATGATTACTTACCTGTTTTTAGAATTCCCTGATCATCTACAGTATATACTTTGTTAGTGGGTCCTATATATTGACCATAAACTTCAGGCGAGTAGAAAATCTGATTCTTCCACATATTTAGATCAAGGATCATGACAAACACAATGATTCCATAGTTAAACCACTTTCCTACAACAGTGAAGACAATGATTAGTTATTTTGGACATGAAGGAGAACATTAAATAAGTAGCTTTTCTTTTCTTTAGTTAAGTCTGATTTAACAGAAAGCAATTGATTATAAGTTTACACTATGATTGCACAGAAGAAACATTGCCACTTCAGATACTCTGGTTGACAAAATAAAAAAAATCAGAATATAAAATGACCTTTTACAAGTGGTTTAACCTTCTTACTTACAAGCCTGACTTCTTTAATATGATTACTAAGTAGTTTGAAATGATAAACCACACTGAAGCAACTGATTGAAAAAAACAAAAAAGGTAATAATTTGAGATTTAGACCATTAATGTGTTAATATGTAATTACTTATTTTAAAAGCTTCAACAGCTGTACAAAATGAGAGGTTAAAAATTAATAACTAAAATATTTTTGATGCCGAGTGAATAGCATGCCTGAATTGTGAACCCAAAAGTTCATTGTTCTTGTCCTGTTGCATAAAAACCTGTTCCACACTTTTAGCCCATGGGTGTGCTGTATGATGACAGTCAAATCCCAATATTTAATCAATTAAGAATAGTCCACGAGATGTTGGTGGGTGCTGTTGACTAACTGCCTTCTTTTCAGTCTATGCATTCAAAACTAGCATTGGTTATGTACACATAGTCCTTGTATATCTTTCTGGGAATATTTGAAAACAAACAAATTCTGCTACTTTGAGCTAATTGCTTTAACCAATTCAAATACATTATACCTAGAACAACCAAAATGTTTCTCTTTTTTCCTGAAGACAATCTTCAACCATAAGTGAGAAGTTCTTGAGAGGAAGTTTGATTTTTTTGTAACAGTAAAATTTTAGACTAATATAATAAGAATTATAAAACTAATATATAAATTTTAAGAAAGAACATTTTGGTTGTAAATGTAGAATCAGCTACATTGATTTACAAGACTTTACACACCGGTAATGTGAAAGACCACATCTGAGATGCTGACATACTTCTGAAACATCCGGTACTTAAAAGATGCCACGTGCATGCCGGGAAGCTTTATATCCAGATCACAGACAAAGTGTGGGAAGTCCCAGTCCTGTAATATTTTAAAACCTTTTATTGGTGTATTCAATGCCCAGATGATGCATGCAGTGAAAGATACACTGTAGAGTATCAGATTAAAGCAGACTGGTGTTCAAACCACAGACATAATGTGAAAAGTCTAAATGTTCAATGACAGAATACACTACAGAGAGTTAAATTAAAGAAACTACATTCAAATCATAGAAATAATATGAAAAATCTAAAATTTATAATTCATGATATAGTGTACAGGATTATATTAAATAAGCTACATTCAAATTTCTGACATAACATGAAAATTCTAAATATAAAGGGTTAGATTAGAATACTAACAAATGCAAATATTACAGACAAAACTTAGAAAGTCTCAAATCTAAAATATGACACAAATATTATGTCAACATCACAGATAATGTTCCATTCCCAACTTGAAAAATAAATAGCAGAAGATTATGTTAAAACTCTTCTCAGAGAATAAAGATGCAAAATCCCAGTTCTGTGTTGAAAAATATATTGTTAAATTTACATTAGGGAGGTTCAGGTATTAATCATGGACAACACATGGAAATTTCTATTGTAGTGTATGGATTTGAAAATTATAAAGATAAAACACTTTTTCATGGTTATAATGCTGATGAAATTTCTAGTGAATCTCAGCACAAAAAAGTAACATATATGCAAGATAAACATATTGGATCATTGACATTATCAAGTGATGGGGTCGAACTTTATGGAATCTGTTTACAATCTAAAAGGTACACATCACTCACCTGCATCACTATAAAAAGATCCATAACAAGGATAAAGGAGGCCAGAAAAGCACGGGACAACTCGGTGGTGGCCACAAAATCCTTGTTCAGACGGTCCCATGTGATCCAGTCACTAACTATTAATGTTACTACTAAAGCCGTCATGATAGACGATCCTGCCCAGAAGATGAAGATACGAATCCGGTCATGAGATCTCCAAAATGTCCTGGCTGGCTTGGCCCAGTCAACATATAGGTTATCTTGAAGCATCATGTCTGTAACCTGAGGTCAACAATGGATTGTTTATGCTGAGATACAACTTGGTAACTTGCATATCACTTACTTGTAAAAGTAGAAGGCTTAGGCTCTAAAATTAGTTGTTCTTAGCCATCATGACTATACAATAAACAAATATTATAACTTGATTTTAAAGTGACAAGCAATAGTAAAATAAAGAAAAAAGCAGAGGATATTAACACTCATGAGCTGATATGATATCAGTCATACAGAAGCTTAACTATAATATGGAGACATTTAGAAAATAATCCACTTGGAATATAAATAAATGTTAATAAGGCAAACCTGGGACAGATTGATATAGAAAGTGAGAGATAAAACAAGTTTTTCCTTATGGTCATTCTTTATGTAGACATGTTTATTCACCAAATAATTCTGGAATGACTAAGTTTCTTTGTCTCAGCTGTTCTCACAAAGCTATATGAGGGTTATCTGCATTAGCTGTCCTTAAATTTGAACTGATAGATTAGAAGTAGAAAGATAGCAGCTAGTCAACAGCACCCACAGCTAATTCTTGAGTTACTCTAATCAAACATAGAGATTTGACCATCACTCTCATAGTGCATCCACAAACCGAAAGTGTGGAGTGTTTTTCCACAACAGGGTACAAACCATGGACATTAGGACTCACAGTCTGGTATGCTAACCATTACATAAGTCCTGCTCTTAGACTGACTAGTGCTACTAAACTAAATTATTGTAACATATTTCTTGATCTCAAAATATCAAAGAAATTTTGATAACATGAATGTGGATTATAATGTTCTTAACTGCATTTTGAAAATAACCATAGTGGTAAGAATAAGAGCTGTTTCTTAAAAAACTAACACTGATTCAACCAATATCTGTTTCTTTTGTAACTAACACTGATTCAACCAATATCTGTTTATTTTGTAACTATCACCAATTCAACCAATATCTGTTTCTTTTGTAACTATCACCGATTCAACCAATACATGTTTTTTGTAACTATTGCCAATTCAAACAATACCTGTTTCTTGTGTAACTATCATCAATTCAACCAATATTTGTTTCTTTTGTAACTGTCACCAATTCAACCAATACCTGTTTGTTTTGTAACTATCACCAATTCAACCAATACCTGTTTCTTTTGTAACTATCACCATTTCAACCATTACCTGTTTCTTTTGTAACTATCACCAATTCAACCAATTCCTGTTTACTTTTGTAACTATCACCAATTCAACCAATTCCTGTTTATTTTGTAACTATCGCCGATTCAACCAATACCGGTTTCTTTTGTAACTAACACTGTTTCAACCAATACCTGTTGCTTTTGTAAATCTCACTGATTCAACTAATAGTAATACCTGTTTCTTGTGTAATTGAACAGATTTCTGTTAATACCTGTTTTTTAAAAAACTAGCACTGATTCAACTAATACCTGTTTCTTCAGTAACTGCCATCAGTTCAAGTACATTTTCCAAGAGAAACTGACATTGCCTTACCTAAAGCACTACTACATCTGTTGTATTGCAACCAGCCTGAGTGATGAGCCCTGATATTGAGCGAAAGGCCTCATCAGCACTGGACACACAGATGTATTAAGTCGTCAAAAATTAATGTCGCGTTTTGGGACACTTTCATTAACCCCCCCCCCCAAAAAAAACTTACATCACGTATAATTAAACGAACCACCTAAACGTGACGTTAGTGTAGTTTATATAATGTGTAAAGTTTAGTTTACTCTAATCCCTTATAGTGATGGCACACGACGAAACACATTCGGCATGTAATGGTGTTTGAATACAAGAAGGGAAACAATGCCTTTGTAGCCACAAAAAATATCAAAGAAGTTTATGGAAATGTTTTAAACGTTCGTAAGTGTCAACGATGATTTAGCAAATTTCGTTCAGGTGACTTTAGCCTTAAAAACTATGATGGCAGGGGCCGACATGTTGGAATTGATATTGATGCTCTGAAGACGCTTTCTGAGTCTAACCCAAAGCAACACACTCGTGAAATGGCCCTCAAATTGCATGTCTCTCATGAAACAATACGTAAACATCTTAGAAATATGGGGGGAACTCCATAAAGAAGGTTTTTTGATACCTCATCAACTCTCCGATGATAATCGTTTCCAACATATGAATGTTGCTTCGTCTCTTCTGGAGCGTAATGCGCGTGGACTATTTTTGGACAGAATTGTCACCGGTGATGAAAAATGGATTCTCTATACGAATATTAAACGCCAAAAACAATGGCTCAGTCCTAGACAGAAGCCACTTCCGACCCCAAAACCTGAATTTATCCGCAGAAAGTGATGCTTTGTATTTGGTGGGACATCAAAGAAGTAATTCATTTCGAACTGTCAATACAGAGATCTATAGTCAGTAACTGGAACGTTTAAATTAAGTCCTCATCAGAAACGCCTTTCACTCATTAATCCGAATGGTGTTATTCTTCTCTACGACAATGCATGTCCACTTGTAGCACGTTTGACGCAACATAAGATTATGGAGTTGGGTTGGGAAATTCTCCCCCACACACCATATTCTCCAGATATGGCACCATCAGATTAACATTTTTTTCGTTCGCTGCAACACCATCTTAATAGGAAAACTTATGCAAATGTGGAAGGTGTTAAAAAGGACATCGACATGTTTTTTGTTTCAAAGCCAAGTGATTTATTTAATATGGGCATTAACAACCTGATTGTAAGATGGAAAAAGCATCATTGATAAGAATGGAGCCTATTTTATTAAA